CTTGATCTTGATGTGGTGAATCTCGATATTGATCTCGAATATTATAAGTAATCTCGATCTCGAATCTCGTCTCGATTTCGAGACGAGATCGAGACGAGATCGAGATTTATCTCGTCTCGTGCGCATCTCTATCAGACAGAAAAACCACTTGTCACCCTGAATATTTATAGCACCTATCTTTCAAAACTCGTCGTGATCATCGCATATATATACGTATATACAATAAATTTTGTTACAATCTTGTTAATTCTCCTTCAAATAATCTTCCTCTGACGCTTCATCCTCTGACTGCTCACTCGTGTCCTCCACCAGTCCGATTTGCCGCTCAGCGCGCCTCTCCTTCCCTTTGGCAATTCTGTCCTGTTTCTTTGTTTTCGATTGGCAGTCCCTCGCGTAGTGGCCGATTCTTTCGCATTTATAGCATTTGACGACTCTTCTGATTGTCGACTTTAAAGCATCCGCAGTTTCTTTTTTCCTCAACTGCGGTGGATTCAGTTTGCAGTGGCAATTCTTGTACTTAGCGTCTGGATTTATTGCGATCTTGCGTCGTAAAAATCTTTGCGACAATGACGACAATTTAATATTCTAAAAGGCTTTCAACAATTTTAGGATAATTCGAAGGAATGCATCCGCGCTTGATTTTGCAAAATCTCTGAAGAAATTCCGTCAATCAGGTACTCCACTATTTCTTCATTAGCGATTGGAATACAATTGCCTAAAATAATTTTGCTAGGGCAATAATAACTAAATGATTTCCTCGTTGCTACTTTCTTGCATCAAACTGACGTCGTGCATTTAGTCGCGTCCTAATGGTCTATCAAACATAATCTCCATTTTCTTAAACAAGTCTTCTAGGTCCATTGCCAAATACTCGACCCGTGAATGGTACCAGTCAAAAGCCTTTCCTCGCAACTTAGATCCCACAAGAATTTTGGTAGCATTTTCATCCAAATTGTACATGTGTTGAAGGAGATTAATCCGTGCTCTCCATCTAGCAAAGTCATTTCCGTTTCCGGTATACTCGCTTAAATAAGATCACCTATATTTCTTAGAGTTAGCAATATGCGTCCTTGGTTAGCGTCTAAAACAAAAAAATATTAAATTGTAACTAAAATTTGTTTGTTTTGTAAATATATACAAAGACCATCAAAAGTTCGGAGCCACTTAAATAATTTCTGAATGGTTCAAGACATTGGATTGAAATTTATAGGGTTACAATGGCATTATAAAATCTATCATTTAATCTCGAAAACATCTACTTCAACCCTCCCGGGGGAAGAGGGGGCGAGGAGTTGAAAATCTTAAATGGCATGTGGGAGTGATGGAGTGATGACTCGTTTGAAAAGGCTTCTTGAGACGACAAAAACGCGAGGGCGTTGAGATATCTACGATTTTTTTTTCGCAGAGTTATGATCATTTAAACATTGGTGTTATTTATAGCATTAGCGAGGCCCGTGGCGAGGACGTAAGAAAGATAAGGGTTCGCGCATGTCACTCACACACACACACACACACACACGTTCTTCCACATGCATTTTCATCCACTCAGGAACATGCGCAAAGCTTTATCTTCCTCACATCCTCACCGTGGGTCCTTGCTAGCGCTAAATAACACCAATGTTCAAATGAGCATAACTCTGCGAAAAAAATCGTAGAGACTTTAAGAGGATGCTAAAGCCGTCTGTTTTATCGACAAAAATACCATTTTTGTTGGATACAAAATACTTTGTATTAATCGCATAGAATAAAATTTCCTTTTCCACGATTAAAACACACATGCTAATGGCTCCGGTGTGTTTTGTACCAAAAACAGGAAAAAATTAAGAAATTACAGATATTGTTATCTATTTTAACCTCAACATGGCGACTAATACTATCAATTTACCAAAACGTTTACTTCGTGAAAAAGTTAGGCAGGTTATATGCTCGAAATGAAGGCAGAGCCAGATGTACAATAAAAAAATAAATATAGGTGAATCGTTAAAATCAAATTTAGAAGCCTAAATAAAAATACATTTGTATA